CTCATAGGTCGTCAAGGAGATCACGTGCGTGATGGAGGGCACGGTAGAAGCCACAGACAATGGCAGCCCAAGAAAGGCACAAACGGGGAGGGTGATCGCTCCCCTCACCAATAAATCAAGATGATAGCCCGGTTGAACTGTTTGAGGCGAATCGCAGGGTGCGGCCGAAGCCCCCTAGCGACTCCATGGCAGCTCACGCTGCCCACCACCAGGCTCGAGCGACCTTTGCGGCCGCAGCGGCTGCCTTGATAGCGGCAACCTCCCACTTCACGGCATCATCACGGAGCCGACGCCAACGTTGGATCTGGGATCCTCTGAGCAGTCTGGAGGCCTCCTTGCGAGCAGCCTTATCCGCAGCAGCGTTGAGACCACGAAGCCAGGATTCGGAAGCCAGCCGGTGCGGCGCCCAACCATCCTTGATCTTGTCGTGAGCAGGGATCCAGAAGATCTCGACTTCAGCAAGCGCACGAAGTCGGCACAAAGCATCGTGGGCACGTCGAGCAAGATTGGGCGATTTGCCACCACCCTTCAAGGTCTCGATCGCGGCCTGGCAGTCAATGACAAGGATGGAGTGAGCACGAAGGTCAGGAAGCCGGTTCGCAGCCACAGCAGCTGACTATGCTGACTCCAAAGTGAAGGTAGCAGCATCAACCTCAGCACGATAAGCGGTCTGGGCCTCAGTATCCAGGCCTGAAACGAAAGCAAGGCTGCCGGGGACGACTACAGCGAAAGCCGCAACCTCATCGATGGCAGATCCGTCGGTAGCAAGAAAGAGGCAAGCATCCTCCCTCAACCTGCGCTCGATGCACTCAGCAAGCTGCAGCTGCAGGCCATCAGGAACTCCACCAGGGGGAGGCGGCTGAGGAGGAATGGCCTTGGCTAAAAGTCTTTCCTCGCCACGATTAGCAGGGAGTTGAACTCCCTCCCTGGCCTCCGCGGTGCGGGGGCAAACCCAAACCAAGTGCGGCCTCGAAGGAGTGAAGCCCCCGCATGCGCACAAGCGCTGTGGATCACCACGTGGAGCTTTAGACCCACGGTGAAAGTGCCACCAATTGCATCCGACAGCCAGCGATGCCAAGAAGAGCTCCCTGTCCTCGGCAGCCTCGAGAGCACACTGTCTGTGGCCTCCGTAGCAAGGGACTCCACCCTCAGGGAGAGGAAGTTGCAAGCCCTGCGCCAAGGGAAACTCCGGGTCAGGAGCTCTGTGGAGCGTCTTGCGCACTCTCGCCGCAGCAAAGTAGGAAGCGACACGGCGAGCCTCAACGAGCCAGCCAAAAATGCAGCCGAAGCAATCATGACCAAGGTGGTACTTCCTCAAGGATCCATCATCTCCAGGACGAAGGATGCACTTGGCATCAGCAGAAACGTGCCAGCCAAGGGCCTGCACCGTCTTGACAGCGGCCGGAAGCTTCGTAGGCCAAGTGCTGGCCGCAAAGTGCAAAGGAGCACTGTCAAGCCAAGCCTTCGTAGCAGCCTGGCACCGCGTAGCAGCTCTGATGGCCGCCGCAGCAATGGCAAAGGTAGGCTCCACCTGCCATCCAAGAATCTCAAAGAACGGACCCCAAGGCACATCCGGAGGAAGCTGAGTACCGAAGGAGCCGAGGATGGCGTTCCGGATTCTGCAGACATCACCTTCAGGGAGGGTGGTCACACCAGCTGCCCAAGTAAAGACAGGCACCACCAGCGTCCTGAGCAGCACGAAGCGGGCTAGGACTTCACCACGCGGGTGATGTCAGTAATGCGGGCCAGGACGATGTCAATGTCAAAGTTGAGCATCTGCACAAAGCTGAGATCGCAAAAGTCAAAGACAACTCCCAGCACAGCAAACTTGGTGTCAAAGGGGTACTCCAAGCAGTCGAGGCCAAAGTTGGCGACAGCCCCTCTGGAGACCGCCGAGATGCCGCACTTGGAAGGCCGACACCTGAAGCCAAAGACGCGGTCAAAGGTCTCTGTCCGTTCCAAAGCCAGGCGAAGGCTTGCGCTGCTTGCTGGGTCAGAAGCCCAAAGCACTCTGTCATCCATGTACACCGCACACTCGATGCCAGGAAGGCGTACTTGATGAAGCCAAGGGAGCATCACTGCCGCACCGACCAAGGGGGACAAAGGACACCCTTGAAGGACTCCACGCCGGAAGCCACCCTGCCAGTCGTCACCCTGAAACGGACCAGCTGCAAAGATTCTGGAGCCCCGCGAGTAGAAAGTCCGAAGAAGCCTCGTGACGCAAGCAGGAGCACGAAGATGTTCGAGCACAGCAAAGCCCTGCTCGAAATCGATGCTGTCAAAGTAGCGGTGGATGTCCTGGCGCAGGGCGATACCATCCTCACGAGCCCGAGTCAACCCATGGTAGATCCAGTGCAAGGCATCCTCCGCACCACGGGACGGCAAGCCACCAAACAAGTGGCAAGTAGCCCAGCTGTCGATCCAAGCCTTGAGGTGCTTGAGGGTGGCTCTAGTCCCCGCCCTCCACAACACTGATGCGACCGCCAAAGGTCGATGGCCGCCTGCCGGCTTGGGAATGAGGATGACCCTGGATTCCATCCAACGCATCGGAATGTCGCCCGAGAGGAGGCAGTGGTTCCAAATCTCCACAGCACAAGCCCACCAGCCGGGGCCCATCTGGAGGAGGTGGCCCGCGTCCCAATCGTCAGGTCCGGCTGCTTTGCTGGTCATGGCCCGCATGGCCAACTGAAAGTCCGCAACAGTAACAGTCACCTCGACTGCAGGCACCGGAACGTCAGCAAGCAAGGAGTGGAAGTCACGACCGACTCCAAGGCCAGGCCGCTGCCGCCAGTAACTAGACCACTCATGTTGTTGCTCCAGCACAACACGAGCAGGATGAATCGCAGAAGCCATCACGCCACCCAAAGTAGGAGAGGGCCCAGCAGAACGCGTCTCCTTGACATGAGCCTGGGCATGAGTCTTCACCCATGTACGCTGCTTGTCCGGAGCGAGCCGCATGCGGGCTTTCCAGGCCTTAATGCGATGATCCCGCACCACATCCTCCTCATTCTTGATGATGGAGGCGACGACCGCTGCAAGCTCAGCAAGCTGGTCGGGACAGCTAGGAAGGCCACAATGGTGAACTGAGGCAGCACTCAAAGTAGCACGAAAGTGAGCCGCATCCCGCTGAGTACGAGCCCGAAGCTGAGCTTCGTGAGGATGACGACCCAAATGAAGAAGCCGGCGATGAAAGCGACGGAGCCTAATCAAGTGAACTGACTCCGGGGCCACAGCGGACTTGGAGCACTTCGATAAAGTGGTCGGACGCCAGTGAGAGGAACGCCGGCACACCCCCCTGCCAAAGTCAGAGCAAAGCTGGTCCTCCGCAAAGTCCGAGAGCAAAGTCCAAGCCTCATCGACCTCACCCTGATCAAGGAGGCAGCGCACAGCAAGTTGTAAGGCATGGTCACAGTCAGGGAAAGGCCGACGTTCACGTTCGCCGACATGGAGTTCAGATCGCCCACTACTATCAAGGAAGGAGGGGCGGTGAGGCTTGTATGAGCCCACGCCAAAGTCGCCAACTTCAAAGCCATAAGCCACGAGGTCATGGTCGGAAATACCGAAGTCCACGTCAACAGACTGGACCCTCTGTACAGCAACAAGAGCAGGATGAGCAAGCCCAAAGTCAATACGTCTGTGTCCGTCACGACGCGTGGCCTCAGGGAGCTCAGGAAAATATTGATCAAGGCAATGAACAGCACCCGAAGCCAGGATAGGGGCCAAGGCAGGGTCCTCGACCTCCATGTTGAAGTCGCCCAAAGCCAGCCATCGGGTATTCAACAACGAAAAGCTCTGGAGGCATTCCTTAAGGAAGATCTCGCGAGCCACGTCATCACATGCATGAGCATAAACAGAAGAGACCAAAAGCTTTGAGTAAGCGATCTCAGAACCAGCTCCAAACCGAAGTTCCACCACCCCACAAGCTATACGATCAGGGCATGGAGAATCGCAAACAAATTCAGTGATGGGCAGAGAGGAGAGCAAAGCGACCTTCGTGACGCCCGCCTCGTCGAGCCCACCAAAGACAACGTTGAAGCCATGTTGTCGGCACACGTTGCGGAACCTCTGCCGAGTCGGCAAATTGATAGAAGCTTCCTGAAGGGCCACAATTTGGACCCCATACAAGTCTAGCATCTGAAAGAGCAGCGGCAGCTTCCCGACCACTGCCGGCACATTGAAAGTAGCACAGCGAAGCTCAGTTGCGAAGGCCAGGCTCCGCCTCCAAAATTTGCACAGCAGCATCGAAAGTTGAATGCAGGTCAGCAAGTGCAATGCCATGAAGGTCAGCGTGAGCCACAGCCCACCTCCTTGCAGCGCGGAGCTGAGTAATTCTTTGCTTGGCAGCGGCGACCGTGATGTTCCTGGGGCCGCCACATCGATGCTCCTTCGCCCAGCGCTTTTCCCGGAAGACAGCACTGCACTTGGCGCACTCCCAAGCCCGGAGCATCTGGAGCCGCTTGGCTCCTTTAGAGTTCGAAGCTTTGTGTGGCGCCAGGCGGGGCCACGTGAACATGTCAAAGCCCGCCTTCTTCATATCGTGGATACGATGAGGAATGGCAGTGAACTTGTTGAGCATACCGACCCTCATGGCTTTGCGGAACTGAGGAGTTTGCCTTTGGCGAGAAAGAGCCTTCCTCCAGTTGGCATCCGAGACACGAGGGTGATGCTCATGCCGATGCTCACCGCGCCATTTGATAAGGAGCTTGTTGGGGTAGCCATCGACATCCTTGAGGAGCCAGCCTTTAGCACAGTAGGGGCAAGACCATCGGAGCTTTCCAGGATGGTCGTCAGCCTTCACCAGCGGCGGCCTCTCAGCCCGGGGAGTGCACTTCCTGCGCGGTTTCTCCGGGCGGCGTTGCTTGTAATGAAGAGTAGCAGCAACCGCCGCCCTGTGTCGCGTAGCATGCTCAGAAACAAGTGGGCACAGCTCACATTCAAAGCGGAAGCCACCCTCCACAGCATACTTGGACTTGGGCCACCTCCGGGATGGCGCGGGCTTGTCGTCAGAGACAACGTCGCTCTCGGGCAAACACCCATCAAGGTCCTGTTCAGGATTGCTACCGACGGCTGAGGCCAAGGCGGCAAGTCCAATCGATCCAGACGCAGCTCCAGGTGCACAAAGGTGACGAAGCTCAGCAGCCTTAGGGGTCCAGCTCGTAGAAGGACCAGCTCGACCTTCAGGATCAGCAGAAGGAGCAGCAGAAGCAAAGTCACGAAGACAAAGTCGGTCACTCGCAGCGGGGCCATTACTGCGCTTGCATGGCGGCGGCTGGCTGTCAGTTTCCCTGGTCCTTTTACGCGAGGCCGGTGCACTGGCAAAGGCAGACAACCTCAAAGAAGAAGCAGAAGAAGCAAAGTCAGCGAGCTTCAAGGAGCCACCTCCACATCCTCGAGTGGAGCGGTGCGGCGAACCCCAAAATCGCAACTCATCTTGAACAGAGCCAGCAAGGTACTCATAGTGGGGCACCTTGGGGTCATAGAAAAGGCAGAGCTCCTTCTCCTTGCCTCCATGGGAGAAGACCGTGACCTGACCATTGGCATCAAGGACAAGGATGTCCCGCTTACAAGCATGGGCCGCAGCAACGAGCTCAAGGTAGCAGCCATAGGTGCCAGCCAAATGTCGTTGAGGTAGTCGTCGAAGCCACCCTTCCAGTCAGGAGCCGCCTCCTTGTTGGCCACGCCAGCCTTGACACCGTCCCAAAGGGCAGCATACTCCTCCTTGCGCTTGGTCATCCAGGCGTGCAAGAAAGCCCTAACCGAGCGTGCCGAAGCTTGTTGTTCAGGGGCATGCACCTTGAGTCCGTCAGCCAAAGCATGGAACAGGCAGTCGCCCCGCCCCTCATTGTTCACGCGCTTGGCGCCCTCAGGGAACCAAAAGAAGCCTTGGTAGCTTTTCCAGCAGAAACTTCAGGGGCCTTCTTGGGCCGCTTGGACTCCTGCTCCTCAGCACCAGGGGCAGACTGCATAGCCGCATCACCGTCAGGGTCAACAGCAGGCAGGGTGGCAGCCACACGCTTCTCCCTGGCCTTCCCGGCCTTGTCACATGACGGTAGGTAACGTTGTGCTCGCGCTTGAGGTCAACGGCCGAACCATAATGATGACGCCGCCGGGCTTCCCTGACTATGGCAATCTCAGTCTGGGCGCCATCGCCATCGCTCACACTCGGCTGAAAGAGGTCGTTGGCATTGGGCGCAATGGCTCGAATGACCCAATCCACCTCAGGTCCACGGTTGCACTTCTGGAAGACATCGGCATTCCGGAAGCCAAGCGAAGCAAAGAGGTCGCACACCATCTCGCCGGTCCAGTGACGAGGACACCTGCAAGCTCGCCATGTCGAAACCTTGTCGGCCAAGCGCTTGTCATCCTTCGGAACTCTGGAGCCCAACTGGACCCGCCCAAGCACAACACCCTGGTCCGAAAGACGCACAGCCCTCTGAAGGTACTCAGGCCAGGTCTCCTCGGCTTGCCAATCATGCCAAAGAACACCTTGATGAGTAGCCTGGATGTCACCATGGACGGGCTCAACAAACCAACAACGGCCAAGGTCATCAGCTTGCCCACTGGCTTTGAGAAGGGAAGCGGCCGCTTCCTCCTTTGTAACCCGCATGAGGCCCCGAAGCTGTGCACTAGCCTTGTCGCCGTCCAAAAGCTCGAACTTGAAGGTGTCACCCAGCTCCTTATGTTAATGGATGGCAAAGGTAGCCCAATCTCGCGCAGCACGGCCAGGGTTGGCCACGACCTTTTTCCAGTCCTGGGCGGAGCCATGGAACTTCCAAGGACACACGAGGCGCAACACCCATCCATCACGATGGCGGGTCCCAGCTTTGGCCTTGTAGGCGGCAATAGAGGCCGTAGCGACCTGCTGCTTGGTCACAAGCACAGGCGAGCCACTCGAAAAGGTTTTGATGTAGCAACTCCTCACCTGCAAGGATCGCTGGAAGTTGCCCGGAATTCTGTTGGTGGCCGGCCGATGGTTGATGTCGTCCTCGGGCCAGTGGTGGTCCGCCGGAAGCAGAATAGTGATCATGGCATTGCGCTCGCCCTCTGCGATGCCCACGCACTCCTTGAAGTCGTCGACACCCTGGGCCAACACCAGCAAAGGAACTGCAGGAGTGTTGTCAAGCGCCAAAGAAAGCTCAAGCTGGCCCTGAACTAAGTTGACGTCGCTCGCCTTGTCAGACTTCCAATCGGCAAGCCGGGGCTTCCAAGTGACAGACTGCCAGGAAGGAGGCTTAGCATGCACTTGCCGCTGAGCTCGCTGCTGCTGAGGAGGTTGCGCCGGAGCCGGCAACCGTGGCCAGTTCGGTGGCCTCTGGTAAGTGAGCCCAGGCCAATCTTCCTCGTCCCATCCGGACCAGTCTTGCCAAGAAGAAGCGTCCCATTGCGCGTCCCATCCTGAAGACCAAGAGGAGCCACCAGCTTGAGAGTCGCCAGCATTGGCGCGCTCCTTGTCGATGAACTTCTGGAGCCCATCGAGGAAATCAAAGTCTGGCTGCCGACGGGCGCGGCCGACCAAATCCTCAACGGCTTTGAGCTGCCTTGAGGTAGCATTGTCAAGGTCGGCAGCTTCCTGCCGAAAGTTCCTGCAAAACTGCTGGAGCCCATCAACAAAATCTGAGCTGCCACCTCCAGCCACGCGCCGGCCTCCAAACCAGGCTGAAGCACGAACACCGTGTCGATTCACAAAGTAGACTGCAAGCACCCTTGCACGGCAGGATGCTGTCCTTTTCTTCTAAAGCTCATGAGCAAATCTCCTTGACCACGAGCGGCGCCGGCTGCCAACCCAAGCAGCTTCAAAGGCCACAGCCTCAGAACGGAGCCGTCTCCATAGCCAACGAAGAAGTCGACGTCGAGAAGGGCACTGGAAGCCACCAGCCACTGCGCCCACAGAGTCGGAGAGCAGGCTGTCAGGAGCACGATCCGCCAAGCAAAGCGGCGCCGCAGGCCTCCTCATCACTAGGTCCAAGGAAACATTCGGGGTGAGCACAACCCACAGTGCCACACCGAGACGGTGAAGAACCAAGAAGCAGGTAGTCGAAGCAAAGGCGACCACCAATGGCCAGCAAAGAAATTCGCCGCCATCACCTGCAAGAAAGTCTCTGGAAGAACCTGGCCCAGGATCCCACATCTGAGCCCACACGTCAAAGTAGAAGTCGGGAACGAAGTGCACAAAGTACTTGAATAGCAAAGTGTCTCCAGCCAGCATCGGCCACCCAAAGCCAACGCCAACCACGGAGAAGACAAATCGGGAGGAATTTGCACCAAGACCGGGTAGTCTTGGCCCAGGCGCACCGGTGGGAGGTCCACTCTTGCGCCCGACGATAGCCCGGTCCTTTCTTGAGATTGTTCGAGGGCCTGTTCACGATGACGCTCGTGAGGTTCTGGTCCAAGTAGCTCAGGACGGTGAAGCCAACTGCTGGAAGGATGG